CACCTGAAGGTACATGTGCCGCCCTTCTATGTCAACAGATCTATGGCAGTATCAACAAACTATGGCCCTCGCAGCCTGGTTTACGCTGACACCTGGTTCCCTGCCAGTAGATGTGCTTGCATTGCCTGTGAATGTACAGCTGTCGGGCATGACTGACCAGTCACCCTCGTACTTCCGACCCCTGTTGGGTTCCTGTTGTAGTTGTTGCTGTGGGTGAAGTTTATATTAACGACCAGAGGGTGTTGTGACACGCCTAGTTGTGGGTCCGGCCTCCCGTCTTCCTGACACTGTCTTGACAGCAGGTGCAGGTGGGGGGAGTAGGAGAGAATGCGGTAGATACTGCGGATAGTTTACAATCACCATAAACGAATTCACGCGCAAGTTACCGTGACTGCTGCATCTCGCTGTGTAGCACACGGTGGACATCGGCGGCTGCGATGGTTGAACCACATATATTCCTACGGCAGATCCATTTGTCATTCTTATAAATATATCTTAGGATTTGTGCTCAGAAAAGACTTCATTGAGTATAACGAGCCCCAATGAGTGATTTCAAGCGCCATGATGAAAACAGTTGATCGGGCATTGCCCTATTAGTGATTTCGTTGCAACCAGAGCTACGATTATCTGGCTCTACACTATCTACGTGGGAAGGCCCTGCTTCATGCTGCGTGCCTGATTGAGAGTCAGTTATCGCGGACGCACCTCGAGTTGGTTGTCCCTAGATCGTGAGGCGCCTACGCGTCTGCTGAGGTAAAATAGATCACGCTCGACAAATGACGCAGCATCCATCGATCGCAGTCCGTGCACGTAGATTTGGCCAGATGGCCGAACGCTGAATGCGAGTAGAGGTGCCCTGGATGACCTTGGCAGAATCAGCGGCGTGCGCAATCGATGCGTTCGTACGTCATTGAACAATGGAGTGTCCATAAAATCGGCTACTCGGCAGATGCGCTGGACCAACACGCGGACTAGATTGGGGTCTGACTGGCGTCAATAGGAAAAGGGACACTAAGCATTCGTCAAACGAATTACGAAAAGCTGCAGAGCATGCGGACGTTATTATTCTAAACATGCGCGTGGTAGCACAGGAATTGCAGTCTATACAAATGTCACCCTTTGTGCGTTCACAACTTCAGTCTTTTGCTGTCCTTGATCGAAAAGGGATCCAAAATCTCACGTGAACAGTCTCTCGATTCAGCGATCGAGTGTTTCTCCTCACATCAAAATGACACTGATAAGAGTGCCATACTTCTGAAAAATAAGTGGGTTCAGTCTCCAAGGTTGCCATTAAACGTAACCCCAATCTATTTAATTAATTTCTAATGAAAATGCAGTTTGTTAACGCAGATGATCCGCGAGGGTTTTAACCTTTTCTGATTAGGGCGGTGCATCTTTTGACTGTTCAGACTTAACCAGAAATCACACCAAATGGGTTAGTCATTGTTTTTCCATTTTTGTTGTCGTCGGCATCAACAAAAAAGCCTGCAGTGGCGTGGCATAGGCGGCACTGTTCATGAGTGTAAAACAGCGGCAAATTTCAAATAATTCACTTTGACCCGATTGTGAACAACTCGGTGCGTCGATAGGATTCCAACCGACGACACAGCAAAGGGTGGCTTTAGTACAGCCAACGCTCTTGCCACCTGAGCTACGAGGCCCCATCGGACGGCGCGAATCTAATCACATCTGCCTTAACACCCATGAATTACGGGAGCCTGATAGCCGCAATCTGGTGAATTCTAAATGTATTTATTGGGCAATCCTGCTTAGGCAGTCAACCTACTGTATCAGATTCGGTGGATAACAGACCTTGCAGTAGGTTGGGCGGGTAAACTTGACGCAAATGTGATTAAACTCATGCATTCCGGTGGAGCCTCGTAGTTTATGCGGCTAGATTGATGGCTGTACTAAAGCGCCCGCTTTCTGTAGCAGGTTCGAATCTCACTGAGACACCGAGGTTTTACAGTGCGATCGAAGTGGGTACGTGCGTCTTTGGGAAATATATTCCGTATGCTGAAGGGGCTCTCGATTCGGACGGATAGGCAAGTTAAGACCATACAGTGGCTATACCTGCCCATGTGGCACAACGCCGATACGTCAGATAAATTTCCCGCCAGCTGGCTGCAAACCTGTAGCCCTGTATTACGTCCAACGAACGTAGTCGGTCGACGGAAGATGTTAACGGCAGGTACGCTGTCTGTCTCCGTAGCAGCAACTGATCCGTTTCTTCCTCTGAGAAAGATTTAGCGGTTAGGCTGTCTCGGCACATATTCTTAGCAAAGATTTCACCGAGCACGACAAGCTCACATGAATGATGTCAAGGGTACTTAAGGAAACGCATGCTCAAACATAACCCTGGTTAGTGATTTGCTTGCAAACAGAGATACGATTAACTGAATCGGCACTATCTGCGTGGGAAGGCCCGGCCTCTTGTTGCGTACAAGGTGGACAGTCAAATGACGCAGCATGCATCGATCGCAGCCGTGCACGTAGATTTCGCCAGACGGCCGAGCGCTGAATGCTTGCATAATTGCCCCTAGATGACCTTGGCGGCAGGTAGTCCGTGGCGTGTGCGCAATCATTGCGTGTGTGTACGTCACTGAACATTGGCAGCGTCCCTTAAACCGGCCAAGCATTAGATGCGCTGGATCAACACACGGGCTACATCAGTGCTTGTCTAGCGTTAATTGGAAACGTGCACTCATGAAATGTCAAGATTGGGTCTGACTTTCAGACATACGCAGACTTTGTCCTTGCCAAATATCCACATTCCCATCAAAAATATCAGTTACCGATGTCAAAAATGCCAGAGTCGGCTACAAAAACAAAAGGTTGTGTTATTTCTTAAAACCCACGTAGATCGCCATCAGTCACAATTTGCACATATCTACTCGACAGATCATGAGACGAAGTGCGAATATTTGCAGGAGTGCAGACGTTATTATTAAGAATATGCGTGTGATATTAGAGGAATTGCAGCCCATGCATATTTCACCCTCTAATCGCCCCCCAAATTCAATCTGCTGCTCTCCTTGTTCGAAAATAAATTTGAACTTTCAGTTATCATTACTTTCGCCATAGTGAACGAGTGATTTTTCTCACAGTAAAATAACACTGTTAAGAGAGCGCCAGTTCTAAAAATTAAATGGATTCGGTCTGCGAAGTTCCTTCTAGGAGAAACCACAGTGTTCTGCATACT